GGGTGTTTCAGGGCCAGAAAGTAACAGAGCCCAGGGGTGAATGGACACTCACACCCGAGCCTTCCCCTCCTCCCACTCCTCAGGGGTAGGGCTGGTGCTCCAGGAGCTGAGAAGTGCGGGCGTGCTGAATGACACCCTCATCATCTTCACATCCGACAACGGGATCCCCTTCCCCAGTGGCAGGACCAACCTATACTGGCCTGGCACAGCCGAACCTTTGTTGGTGTCATCCCCAGAACACCCACAACGTTGGGGCCAGGTCAGCGAGGCGTATGTGAGCCTTCTAGGTATGGCTGTCTGTCGGTCTGTCTGTCTGTCTGTGTCATGGGCGGGGATAGGAGAAGCCAACGTTCAGTGGGACTGCCCTGGGTCAGATGCTGGAGTGCTCCCTGACATAGGTAGTGCTCCACCACCTGGGCGAGGATGAGATGACCTCCTCCATTTCGTGATGAGAATAAGTCACCTGGGAGGCCTGTTCCTGTCATGTCAACACCCTGAGTGTCTGGTGGGGTCCCAGGTGGTACTAATGGGCTGTGGGTTACCCACTGGAGAACCAGTGTGGCATCTCCCTTTTCCTCAGGATCCAGCGTATGTCATGAAACTCGGTTCTGAGGGCCCGGTTCTCTAGCCCCACGCCATGAATGAGCAAACATGACCGCGGGTGTGGGAAACGGAGGGGCAGAGTTCAGCCAGGCCTGTCAGAAGCTTTCTGTGCCAGCCCATTGCTTGGAGAGCCTCTGTGTTCTCAGGGGTTATGAGACAGGCTTTCTCTGGCATGCACCCACCTTTCCATGTGACCACAAACCATGAGTGAGGGAACCTTGTGACCGACCCAGAGTGACTAGGTGAGCCCTCCTGACCCAGGGTTCTTCTGGTCCAGAGGATTTTCGCAGGTCCCTAGATCTCAGCAAGCCAGGGCCTCTGGTTATGCCATTAATGGCTTCACAGGCCAGGGGTGACCAGTGATGAGGTGCGGCCCAAAGTAGTCCCTCGCCACTGCTGATCTGCCCTGCAGGGTGCCCATGGGATTTCCAGAGAGGCTCAGGTTCACCCCTTTTGAATGGCTCCGAGTCCCTCAGCGACCCCTGCTGAGAGTTATTTCTTTGCAGACCTCACCCCCACCGTCCTGGACTGGTTCAACGTTCCATATCCCAGCTATGCCATCTTTGGTTCAAAGACGATCCAGCTCACAGGCCGATCCCTGCTGCCAGCGCTGGAGGCAGAGCCCCCTTGGGCCACTGTCTTCAGTAGCCAGAGCCACCACGAGGTCACCATGTCCTACCCCATGCGCTCGGTACACCACCAGAACTTCCGCCTCATTCACAACCTCAGCTTCAAGATGCCATTTCCCATCGACCAAAATTTCTATGTCTCTCCGACCTTCCAGGACCTCCTGAACCGAACCACAGCTGGCCAGCCCACGGGCTGGTACAAGGATCTCCACCATTACTACTACCGGGAACGCTGGGAACTCTACGATGTCAGCCGGGACCCTCGAGAGACACAGAACCTGGCCGCTGACCCACACTTCTCGCAAGTACTGGAGATGCTGAAAGCCCAGCTGGCCAAATGGCAGTGGGAGACGCATGACCCCTGGGTGTGCGCCCCTGACGGGGTCCTGGAGGAAAAGCTCACACCGCAGTGCCGACCTCTTCACAACGAGCTCTGACAGTCCCCGGGGCACTTGGCAGCCTGCACTCAGGCACAAGGAGGGACCAATGGAGGCAGCGCCCACAGCCCCACCCTCCACACACCCATCTATGATGTGGGATGCCGCTCCTGCCTCGGGAGAGGACGTTCAGGCATGCACTCCCCATGTTGCCACCACACCAGAAACACTGCTGTCCTCACGTCTGCGTGACCTGACCGAGGAGCTGTAGGGGAAACTTGGGCAGAATCCCAAATTTGACCTGCGGATGGAGGGGTGAGGTCTGAGAGTTTGAAGCCCTGGTGTCTGGAACCCATGGATGTTTTCAAGCCCTTCTTTCTAAGAGGAGCCCAGGGCTTGTGTGTGCCTCGTGGGCGGCGGGCAGACCACACTGACGACTTTAACCAGCCGTGGCGTAGAGGAAGCCTTTGGGAGGCCCTGGGCTTGCTTTCCCCTTCATTCTAATACAGGCTTAGCCAGAAATCTCACTGGTGCTCGGAGGTGATGAGTTTGATCATGTGGTCCTTCTGGGCTCAGCTTGTCCTTTCTGAGGGTGACTGAGGACAGGGTGTCCCTCTTTGCCTTTCGTTCTCTCTCTTTGAGTGACACCAAGCTGCTGGCCCCAGCCTTCCCCTTCCTCCACCTGCCAAGGGTCAGAAGCACAGCCTGCAAACCTAGGAGACTGTGGGAGCCCGTCCTTGGGTCCTGGTGCTTTACCCAGCAGGTCCGCATAGAGGATGATCAGGACCACGGGCCTGAGTGCAGGTGTCTGAGATGCTCTGCACTTGGCTGTGCTGGGGAGGAGGTCTTTTGCTCCACCCCTTGGCGTCTCTATAAAAACCCTGGGGCAGAGACAGTCGGGGCCCGTTGGAAAAGGTTCCAGGCCCTCTTGAGGCTATCCTTTATTTTCTATCTGTTTATCTCGGCAATATTCTCCACAATAAATCCTTCTAATATTTCCTGCTGATTGCACTCAAGAAAACTCTGGGGAACTGTGGGGGTGGTGGGTAAACGCCCCATAGGAGAGAGTCTGTCCCCATTGTCCCTATCAACTCCATCCTGGGAGGCAGAGAGAGCCAGGGGTTCTAGCATCGGTAACGCTTTTTACAATAGTGTAATAGTACACAGAACTTGATAGTAGCAGACGAGATCTTAGGCACTGAGACTCAAATACCCTGTCAAAATGATTCATTTATGGCTAGGTGATGGCATCACCCGAGCGGGGTGTGATGCACTCCGGGAAGGACCAGAGAGTAATGTCAGTTTGAGAGGAAGTTCTCTCGGGAAGAGTCCACTGGCTCTGTCCAGGACATCTACCAGAGCAACCTGGTGTTTGGGGCTGGGCGTGAGGCCATGAGTCTAAGAGCAACTCAAGTCTGGGTGCCATGGCAACCTTGTCTGCAGGTGTCTGGCAGCACTGGCTGTTAGCTGTGCTGAGTTAGCCATGCCCTCAGTGCCCGGAGTCTGTGCCCCTGCCCTGGGCAGGGATGGCTGTTCCAGTGGGCTTGCAAGATTCCTTTGGCATCGAAAATGTAAAAGGAGGGGACAGTCCCCTCGAAGCTATTCCCGTTATCCCAGGAGGTTGGGGCACTCGCACTGAGCCCGTCTTAGGAAGGACCTCCACATGGCAGAATGTTCTCCAGTCTTCCAGCAGCCCAGGCCATGCTGTGTGAAGGTGGCGTCATCATTTACACTCTGGCTGCTGTGAGCACATCGTGAGTTCGGACCCTGACCAGAGAAGGAAGTGGGGTTGTTTGCAGACAGACACATGGAGGTCACCACAGTCCTAAGCCAGGTTGGGGCTTCAGCAGGGGCTCTGCTCCGTCCACACCACTTTCTTCTGCTCATCTGCAATGGCCAGGCGCACACAGCTGAGCAGGCTGTCCAGGTCACTCCAGTTGTCAGAGGCCAGGCTGCTGTACAGACAGGGCACTCTGTCCAATTCCCCCTCCTCCTGCCGTGCCGCCTCCAGGAGCTGCTCCTCCGAGGTGCCAAGCCGCTGCAGGCCCTTCCTGCAAAGCAGAGACGGTCAGCCCAAAGACAGCAAGGTAGCCAGGAAAGCACACCATTGGGCTTTCCAGGAGAGCACTGTAGGGTCCAGGCCAGAGTCAGTAGACGATTCAGCATGCATCAAAATGCCCTTGGGCACAAGCATGGGAGTCCTACCCAGGGAAGCTCAGAAAGAGGCCAGGACTGGACTGCAAGTGGCATGCACTGATGGGGTGTGCAGAGCTTATCCACTTCCCAAAGGATCCAGGCAGCAGGATGTGTTTGTCTGAGCCACATACCAAGTGATGGGGGGTGGGATCAGCACAAATTAGGCTTCAAGAGCCTCAGGCACTGTGTAGCTTTAGCCTGCTGGAGCAGGGGAAGGGTTTTCAAGCTGGACCTCTGGCCTGAGGATGTGAGGCCATCACTGCAGGCTGGAATAGAAAGAGCTCTAGCGTGTTCCAGAGGCGTCTGCCAAGCTTTTCCAGAGCTCAGGCCCCTGTTTGGACCCTGCTGCCCAGCTCCACTGCCCAGCTCCACTGCCCAGCTCCACTGCCCAGCTCCACTGCCCAGCTCCACTGCCCAGCCCTCAGCAAGCACCTACCTGAGTCTCTTTGCTGTCTTCTCATTGACAGAAACATGGACGATGATGGGGAAGATGTCCATCCTGTGCAGGACACGGACACTGTCCAGCCGGACATCCAGCAGGGCGTGGGTGCTCTTTGGGAGGACATAGAGAAGCAAGTTAAGCTCATGGGCCTCAGGTCTGGGAGGAAGCGAGACTAACCCCATGCAGCAGAGAGCAGGGCTGTTTAGAAGAGCCCTGAATAGAGGACACTTGGCA